TTTAAAAACTCTAGAACGCAAAATAACTTTGCATATGCACTCGAGTATCCTGTTTTGTATATAAAAAGAAAAATAGAAAGCAAAGTACGCAACAAAATTAATGAAATTACATTAACTTCCTTTTTTGGTATTTCCAGTATAATCAATGAACATTAACAAGTCAAAGATAAATAAATATGCAATGTTTTGTTGAATATTATTATCCGAGCAACGTATGACCTCATGTTTTCGCAATGTAACTATTAATACTACCTACGTGCAATTTCTTTTTTCTAAGCGCATTTGCAGATACAGTAGTCTGAACGCAATCCGATACTTCTCACAGAAAACAAATTGATAAACATGTATTGGAACAAAAGTCATCTATTTTTACACTCATAAAAATTTCATGTTTATTTATAATTCACTTTGAACCAATACATTAATATATTTTACATTTTTAAACAATGTTTAAAATTTAGAATATCAAACTGTCCTTGCAAAATTCAATAAAACTGAAAAATAAAAATTACATTAATATATTTTACATTTCTAAACAATGTTTAAAATATAGAATATCAAACTGTCCTTGTAAAATTCAATAAAATTGAAAAATAAAAAATTCAGTTTTTAATAACAAATTATGAATAAACATATTACGCCACTTTCATTCAATATTACATAAATGAAAGTAAACAACGAACCCTTCGCACCCTTTGATAAATTTAACTACATACACATTAAAAAAGAAAAAATCTAATAAAAGAAATCTGAAAGATACTTAAGGGTTATATAAAAGTGTAATGAAACATTTACATAAAGTCCATTGCATATACATCGACTGCACGTAAATATAGAGCGCAGGAAAATATGATCCAGGAAAGAATCCGTTTATGGGAAAATGCTTCGAGCTGGTTGAACAATTATCAAAAAATGATCTGGAGCGTATTAATGTATCGGTAACATGTAAATGACCGGTTACGCAAAATCCAATAGTATGCTACCTGAATTTATGTCGATGGAATTAGCTTACCCGCATTCTTCCACCATCTTTGAGAGTAAAACGCACGCAACATGCTTCCTTGATGTGTGCTCGATCGATAGAACGACCCTAAGCGTTTTCGAACACGCGAAAAACTCAATTTCCCATTTAAAAGATCTCGATGTGGTTTCGCATCCTCTCTCTTTATCTTCGAATTTTTGACCGCTTCAAAGGGTTCGCGAATTTTTAATTAGTTTCCACTTGCGAAAATTGTTCTTGAGGTACACATGAATTACGGAAATAGTTTCCAGTGGATCGCTAATTTCGCGTAATTACGGGATCCAGCCGAAGCTACGGAATTAACATTCCGCAATTCCGCTGTCAGTAGAAAGCTCGTGAATATTGCTTCGTTCGACGAACTTCGCGAGTAAACTCCTGGAAGCTTGTTCTCTCAAACGTGTTAACTCTTTGACTTTTATCAGAGCGTCCACATGTATCGCTTGAGAAAATATTCCCGTTTAGACAGTCATTTATAATCTTTCCGAATTTATTTAATAACACGAAACATATGAGAAAATAGGTTTAAATTATTTCACCAAAATTGCTTGTTTACAATCACTGATACCTGTGATAGCGCGGACCATAACGAGAAGCCAATATGGCGTCGACCTGTCAAATACGCAAAAAAACATTCGATTTTACATACACATAACTTCTCAACTGATTTCTAAACTTAAGGCTAGTCGATTTTCCCTGAAAGTATTCTAACAGAGTAAGTAAAAGAAATGATAATTATTAATTCAAAAGTAAAATTTAGACTACGGTCGAGGTTCAGTATTCGCGGGTGCAATCTTTCGCGCCAGCTTCCGTGTCGGTAATTCGCACGTTATGAAAACGGGAAATAAACGCGGGAAAAAAAATCTATGACAGCAAAGCGTAACAGAGACAGAAGATCTTCCGCTAGTTGACGCCGGCGAACAAGAATAGACCATGGCCCCGCCGGTTCGAAAATAACCCGGTACGTGAATTTTCGTCGCGCGAGTGTCGTAAGTGACGCTGCTAAAGCGAGAAAGTGGGTGACTTAGCAGCCCCGTTCAGGGTCAAGAGTAAACGAAGACGACACTGGGTTAGGCGAATTCCGTACCGTGTTTAATTAGCATTCGTCAGATGTCCCCTTCGATTGCTATACGCTCGAGTGTGATCGCACTCTTTCAACTCTGTCTTATCGTTTTAAGCCCTCGGTGTATTTTTATTCCCAGACGAGAATGCGTTAACGCGTTCACTACCATTGTAATCAAGTTCAATATACACTGACAAACCTAATCCAATTTCAGTACAGGAGTTCGATTATACTCGACGTGACCCCTCAGATTTTAGTGTTTATAAGTTTCAAGTTACAATAAGTGTTATTTTATGGTGCTTTTATGTCAAATGCTTACAGACTATTAACGGGACAGAATGTAATGTGTTGAAAACGACCATTTAATGCGCAACGAACTAATACGCAATAATAGATTAGACAATCGACCTGTATTGAAAATATTAATAATTAATTTGTGATTTTGTGTTAATGTTAATTTACAATATTTTTATGTCTACTTTAATAGAGTAAAATTGTATGAATAAAATATTATTATGTATGAAATATATTTTTATTTATAATGTATGTGCATATATGTATAAATGAATAAATGTATTAATTATAAATGTAAAAATAAATAAAATATTATGGAACATGTAGATATACATTTATATGATTATGTGTGTGTATATGTATACAATATAAGATATGTTATTATACAAGATACATTAAATAAAATAAAATATGAATAAATATAACTGCAGAAATAGAACGATACACTTGAATTAATCACGATTAACTTGCTAATGAGTTAACTCATCCACATAAACACGCATAAAATCCAAACCGGCAATGTCGGTTTTTCAACGTGAAAAGAAACTTTTAATAAATTCCGCGCATAAACTCCACTTCCGAAAGCGCGTGGCACACTTTCCGCTAAGTTCCCTATCTAAGCATATTACAAAATACGCCCACGATTCGATAATATGCAAAACAGCGGTGTAGCAACAACAATAGCCACCCTTATCACTGTTTATTGAATGTAATTTAACTAGAATACGTAAATTACCCTAAACAACGGCATCACAATGGCGCGCGTTCGATGACCCAATTTATTGTACCTCATTATACAAAAATTCGGTCAACCCTGTCTTGAGAATTTACAGTGAAGAAATAAAAAATAAAGAAAAATTCAAAGAAATTTGTTGAAGACTATAATTAGATTTGGTGAGAATAAAAATTGGTGTATAAATAAATTGTGATTGTCTATTGCTATAAATGTACATTGAGGTCATTTCTGTTTATATTATTATTATTCATAATTTATTATTATTACTATTATTATTAAACAATACATTAACGAATTTTAAATTAATTTTTAAATCACTGGATTTTCAAATTTCCATATCCCTATGTAACCAGTGAGAATTCGTATAATTTCCATCTCGAAAACAGATTCTAAAGCAGAACACATATTTTTGCTAGTGCAATCGGCAAAAGTTACGATGGTCGTTAAATTGTGAAAGACTCGCGCAGTAACATTCTTTGCCTATAATTACGTTGCCATAAAAAGATCCATTATTTACAGCAGTACAGAGGAATCTTTTTTTCCGAATAAAACGTTTTGGTACGATTACGACACTAGTGTCTTTATTATCCTGTTAATTAATCGGATTGAAAATCCCTGTAATATGTGACGCAGATATAAGCCACATACGTAACGTTTCGTTATAAAACATGCGAATACACAATAACTCGAAAATAATACGATCGAACTAATCGGATAGCATGACAAAAGAACGTATTAAATATTTCTAGTTGTGTGAACAATCGAACGTGTGTAATTACATTGTCAAATGCAAGGATGACCTCAGGGAAATCAGGTCCTTATGCATCGAACATACAACTAAGTTCTTTGTTTATTTTTGCATGTAATACCGGCGTCTACTTGTAAACGAAATATAAATCCATTCTGGTTATAATATAAAATCGAAATGTCGTGTTATATCAAGACATATTTTTAAATTTCTAAATTTCCATAAAAAGATCCTATATTCTAATATCCCTAGATACCTAATACGCTGGACAATGCTATTCCTATGTTCATGTGTCCATAGATTCCGAATTCCCTAAACAATGCTACCCCTAACCGTTCGTATACTTGGAGACCTATATTTCGATATCGTATATCAATAGATTCTTATGTTCCTAAATTCCGAATTTCCCAGAGTACTCTTCTCTGAACCCAATATCTTTAGATTCCTTAGACTACTATAGACGTAGATCTTGGCATTCCTAGAACCCTAATTTTGATATTCTGTATAAAAAATTGTCAAACATGACTTGAAATAAAAATATTAATTTCGTTCGTAATATCGAAACTACTAAAAAAGAAATATTAGATTTTTATAGTCAATTTTGCAAACCCCTTTGCTGTATAATAAAAGTTTATATATAATATAATATTTCGTAAAAATAACTTTTGACAGTGATAGGGAAGCCTTTCCTGCATCCGGCAGTAAAATCGAAAATACGTATCGAATTTTCCCCTAGCCTTACGCAGACGAAATGCAGCACCGAAGCGTGTCAGCATACATCGCCCGAACTGGAAGTCGTAAATCGACCGTGCGCATATTTACGACATCGATACGTGGAAATTGACCGGGATGCAGGCCAGAACGACGGGTAAAAGCGGCATGTACATTTAAAGACATTTGCTCGAAAATGCCAACGTACGAGGTACATCTCGGGGTCGAAAAATCGTTACACCTATCGCAAACGTTAGATATCACGGTACAAGACCATGTATCCACATATAAAGCGATCGTGAAACGCCCACGCACGCAGAACACGCGCTCAACCACCGATCAAAATCTTCGGTAAGGTTACATGGAAACACGCGAAGGAAATCGGGCGAACTTGATGAAATAAAAGATACACGTATAAAATGTAACTTACCTCTTCGAGGGACGTTATCGTTTGTCTGCATTGTGGCATCCGCGAAACGAAAGTGGACGTTGTAGGCGAATTGTAATCCTCTCTCGTCTCCTCGACGAACTCGCTCACGGCGATTAGGCCCGGCATTTTTCCTCTCTTTCCGCCTATATTGGCCGGAATGATAGCGAGCCCTCTTTAGCTTTTCCTCTATTTTGATTTTCTCTCTCGCCGAAAACTGGCACCTGGTGCCAGTTGATCGCACTCACTCCACACTCTGACACTACTCACTTCACCGTTTCTCTCGTGCGCACCATAAATTCCGCGGGAGGACTGTCACCTTCTGTCTCCTCCCAATGCCGTTTCCCGTGACGCACGGTAAACGTCGTCCCGGTGCGACGAACGGACCCAGAGAAGAGCGGCGGGAGAAGAGAAGGCCACAACCGGGATGAAGAGAGGGAAGGGAGCTGGTGAGAGGAACAGAGAGAGAGAATGAAACTTTGAGCACACGGTCTGTCTTCTCTACCAGCGAGAGACACTTGCGCGACACGATTATTTCCTTAACATTTTGATCGCTCCAAGTTTCCCGCACTGGCCGCGAGGAAACATATTCAGTTTCTTTTGGTTGTACGCGCGGATCACGATGCATACACACTTTTACGCGCGTACGCGACTGCGTCACACGAAAAACTTCTTTGCGACTACTTGCTGCTCGATCTAAAATCAACCTGATCGGCCCGAAACGTTTTCCTCTGCGGTCCAAGTTTCACTGAGGCGGCGCTGCGTGCGTCTGTACCTTCACCATTGAGTTTGTAAATGAATGAACGCCGTTCGTGTTTATGGTCGACAACCATGACATCTCGAGATGAAATTTTATTTTAATAAATTCAAATATACAAACAATATTTAATTGATTGATTGTTTAAAACTGTGAGCGTTGACTGCTACAATACTCGAGAATTTTACAAGACATTTACTGCAAAATTATGATTTATAAATGTTTATTGTTTGAATATTATTATCCTGTTAGACCGACATTATTTTTATAGGAGCATTTTATTATTTTACTGCTTTATGATTTTATTATCCTACTAATCAATTATTTTAGCATTTTACTGTTCTACCACTTTTACCTTTTTACCTTCCCTTCTTGGATGTACTTCCAGACATTCATATTTCTAAGTCCAGGGGTTTGGGCTGACCATTGATGAATCAGTGAATTAGGACATTTGTTTTATATATATTAAGAACATATAAAGAAGATACAATATATGTTAGTAATATTATACAACAACTATAAACTATTGTTGTATTACAGTCAGATAGTTTAGAATAATGTGCATATTTATTTGAGTATAGTTTTAACTACTATTAAGTTTTATCTCATTTTAAGTTTTAATACCTTCATTCTTAAAGTAAAAACAAGTGAATTCAGCTGGTTTGAAATGTTTTAAAGTTTGATAAAAGAGAAACTAAGTTTCCTTTAATACTATTGACATTATTAGTATATCCTCTATTATTTCAACCAGCAAATTTAAAATGGAACAAATAAGGCTTGAAAACAAATGAAGCTAACAATGTATGAGTTTTTTAATTTTTATTATAAAAACAAAAAATTAAAGGACGAGAGTCTCTTGTAACTTAAGTTGTTTTTTGCTTTTTGCCTTGACCTGTGCTGCAATGCGATCTAAGTCCCTACGACCCTGGCTGGTAAGCTTACGTCCTCCAAGTGGTGCCTTTTCAATCAGTTTCAGTTGCTCTAAACTTTGAAGTGCTTTGCGAGCTACACCACCAGCAGAACGACAGAAGTGGCTGGGATGGGTGCCATTACGTTTACGTCCACCAAAGATTTTTGTCACTGCTCCTACACCAATTGGACTACGAATGTAAATGTGTCTCACTAAAGCAGCACATCTTATATAATACCAATCAGGATCATATGGGGCAAGTTCTTTGAAACGTGCAGATTTTACAATATCAACCCATTCTGGAACTCGCATTTTTCCAGTCCTAAAATTTGAAATAAGTTAACAAATAAAATTTGTATAATATATTTTTAATGAAATTTTGTATATACTAACAAGATATTCTACTCAATATCAGAAATGTATAAACAAATGATTACTTACTTTTTCAAAAAGGCAGCAAAAGCCTTTACAAATCTGTGTTGATCAACATCTTTTAATGTTACAGAAGGCATCTGAAATAATTATTGTACATAAAAAGAATTACCATTAGAAACATTTATATGAACAACTGTATGTCATATCACTGCTGATGACAGAAACTTAATAGTACAGATATGGTATTTGCATAAAGCTGTATGTAAGTAGCACACAAATAATAACTTAATTTTGGTTTGTATATTACCTTATTTTGAAAATGTAATACGCTTTACACACAACTGACAAAAGTATACCCGCCCGGTTTTGAACCTAACCTCCAAAAGTAAGTGAAAGAGCAGTGTCAAGATATCCCATAGACGTACGAGTGTTTACAAGATATTCTTATAACTGTAGACTCATGACCAAAAAATATGAAATTCGTAAAGATGGCTTTACGTATTTTAATACGAAGAATGGTACTTCAATGAATTAAATTATTTTTATTGACCAATTAAATAAATAACAAATAAAATTATACACTGCATCTTTTACACTAATATAACCATATTTCATTATTTTTCATTTTATAATAATGTTATTAATAAATTGTTTAAGTTTAAATAATGTGTTTTATTAAATTTGAATGATTACAGATCAATAATCAAACAGTGCGTAATGTTTAACAGATATGATAATTGATGTTTATCTACACGTCATTTGGACCTTCAATGTCAGTGCGTGGGTTACAATTGCGCGTGATACGTATCTCCAATAAAAGCAAGAGAACTGTGATCATGACGAGCATTTTGTTTAAAAATTTGTGCGGTCAACATTTGAAAAATTCGTTCCCAAAAGTAACAGCGATTATCAAAATGAATCTCAATGGTTCTTGTGCGTTGACGGAACCGATTCCTTTTTCGAAAGATTTTCTTTTTCGCCAGGTAAGTAACAACTACGCAAGTCATTTTTCGGTGGATATTATTGTTCGGATGCGAACTTCATTACCGTCTTTACGACGTCATCTAGCGAGAGAAGATGTATTCACAGATTCAAATAATCGATTTTTATAAGCTGTATATTTTAACATACATCTCGCCAACAGTTTTGATTCTTAAATAATTCAATTTAGATTATTTATGACTTGCATAATAATCTTTTTATTTTGAAATGAGTAATTGCCGCATGTCTATTAAACACACGTCATCCATTAACTGAGATGATGAAATTTTGCATAGAACTTCTGTAAATTTTTTATTTTTCAAAATTATCGATTCAATCTATGTATTTTAAATTAGTACATAAAATTTAAATAATTAATTATGAAATATGAGTTTATACATTTAAATGCGTTGAAATTATGAGTGAAAAAAATAATTTATTTTATGATAAAATAAATTTCGATATTGATACGTGAAAATTTTATTAATAGACAAATTTTATGATATCGATTTCTAAAGTTATGACGAAATATTATGAAAGTTTTAAGCGGAAGGAAATCATCGAACGATAAGAGAGATAAGAATGTTGAAGAATTAAGAACCTAAGAAAGGGAATAAATTTAAAACTATTTTTAAACTAAATTAAATTTGAAAAATGACAAAATCAATATCTATGTCGATAATTTTAATGTGCAGTAGGGTGTCCCATACAACTGAGTCTCATAATTTTAAAGCAGTAAGCGGTAGTCGAAAATTTCACTGCTGCACGTGTTCCGGAAGTGGAAGTGTTCTAAAGATTTTAGGAGAACGTTCCGGTCTACAGCGTTCAAAAGCACCTCAACTTTAAAGCTTAATTATAAAGACACTGACAGATAATTTATTATGCTTTTGCATTTTATTAAGTACGCTGTAGAGACATTTATATATTTTTTATGTTCAACCCTGTGGCGCTGAAAAGAATTTTTGTACAATAAGACAGAGTTTTTCATTTTACTATTCTTTTTGCAAAGAGAGTACTGAATGTAAAGTCGTTCGAAATACGTGTTAAACGATGTAATTAACGTAGGATTGTACTATCTATGATTCTATACGATTTTTGTCTCTGATCAGTAACGAAACGTTTGTTAATATATTCTTTAATATTTTAATTTTCTCTTGAAATTCTCAGCTGTTCGACCCAATATCCAGTACATATACTTACCTTCTGGCTGACATAAACTGTAAGACAGCGGTTCTGATAGATCCAGTTGTTGAATGGGCAGAACGGGATAAAAAAATAATCGAGGAACTGGGATTAAATTTAAAGTATGCCAGTAAGTTGAAATCATTTACTGCGACCTCGTAATCCAAAGGATTAAAAGTCTAACACCAAGTGTAACCATTTTAAATCTATTATCTGCGTCATCGGCGACACCCGGTAGCTATTATTGAGTTAACTATGTTATTCGGTTAATTTATTTCAATTGTAATGAACGAATGACTAAATTAACGATCAATTGTTTAAATTCGATTATGGTATCTCGTAGAAGTGTATACAGGTTAAAGATCGTAGCAAAGAACGAGATTTCAACGATTTAATGTTCCGCATTGATATATACCTCTCGTACAATAGGTCAAAACGGTTCTCGTCGGTTCAAACTTTTCAACTGGGGTCCATTGAGTTCGAACAACGGCAATTCAATAAGTTAACAAAGTGCGAAGTATTATTAAGGAAACTGAGCATTTAATTGTTCAGATTGGTGCTCGAAGTTCTTTCGAAAAAGAAAAGGACCACTTGAAAAATATTTCGTTACGAAGTTCGTACGAGGCCGTTCGAAAGCAGAAGAAACAAATCGACGCGTAGCATTAAATGTACACAGTACGGGTATAAAAAGCGGACTTCAATTTTTGCAGAATCTCTCCATAGTTATTTCTATTTCTTCCAATTTATAAATATAATCGCAAAATTTAATAACCGAAATAGCAGTCTTCGTTTTCGCGTTTGACGTTTCTTTTTTAACGGTACTAATGAAAATGTCGGAAAGTTTGAAAGCATCGAATGTCGCCCGAAGGTACTTTTAATATCAAAATGAACTACTGGGTAAAAGCAGTCGACTTGAGTAAACGCTTTTTACAGTAAATACGCATATGCACGCTGATCATATCACTGGAACGGGAAAGTTGAAGTCTTTGTTACCTGGATGCCAGTCAATGATATCACGTACCAGCGGAGCTAAGGCTGATATACTCTTGAATCCCGACGATCAAATTTGCTGTGGAAGGCATAATTTGCTGGTGGTTCCTACGCCCGGCCATACCGAAGGTCACATAATACTCTTTCTTTAATCGAGGACACTTAAAATCTTGAATACAGTGTACTTACATATTTTAATACAGTAGACTCTCATTAGACTTTAATACAGTAGACTCTCAATAGATTTTAATACAGTAGACTCTCAATAGACTTTAATACAGTAGACTCTCAATAGACTTTAATGCAGTAGACTCTCGTTATATTGCCACATACGAAGCAACATGCAGTAGACTCTCATTGTATTACCACATATGAAGCAACATGCAGTAGATTCGTTATATTGCCACATATGAAATAACATGCAGTAGACTCTCATTATATTGTCACGTATGAAGCAACATGTAGTAGACTCGTAATTATAGGTTTTATTGTAAATGTAACTTTAAGTGTAATAGAGATTTGCTGTGATACTTGCACATCTATACGTCGCGGCGTCTAACCAAATTTTGCCACGAGTACGCGTGCAGGTTTCGACACGTCCAAGAAACAAACGACGATCGCTTCGACGCAAAATACCGTTGAACACGCAAAAATCGTTATATACTACTTCACGAAATACGTTACTCTAACTATAATACAATATGTTTACTTACAACTATGTTACACTCCCTACATTATATTGTTACATATGAAACAACATGCAGTAGACTCTCATTATATTGTCACGTATGAAGCAACATGTAGTAGACTCGTAATTATAGGTTTTATTGTAAATGTAACTTTAAGTGTAATAGAGATTTGCTGTGATACTTGCACATCTATACGTCGCGGCGTCTAACCAAATTTTGCCACGAGTACGCGTGCAGGTTTCGACACGTCCAAGAAACAAACGACGATCGCTTCGACGCAAAATACCGTTGAACACGCAAAAATCGTTATATACTACTTCACGAAATACGTTACTCTAACTATAATACAATATGTTTACTTACAACTATGTTACACTCCCTACATTATATTGTTACATATGAAACAACATGCAGTAGACTCTCATTATATTGCCACATATGAAACAACATGCAGTATACTCTCATTATATTGTCACATATGAAGCAACATACAGTAGACTCTCGTTGTATTACCACATATGAAGCAACATGCAGTAGACTCGTTATATTGCTACATATGAAGCAACATACAGTAGACTCGTTATATTGTCACATATGGAGCAATGATATGAATTGGTAATATATCAGAATATTATCCATTGGAATTTATACAGTCTTCTTCGTAATTTAGTATATTTACATCATTTTTAATTCTGGAACTCTTGATTGAAAAAAGTCTATTAAGTTTCTATTTTATAAAAAAAAGTTATAAAAAGTCTATTTTATATTTTTAAAAGGGTAATCCAAATATTAAAGTTAGTCTGGAATGAATCCAATAAAAATACAGGAAATGCGATAAAGCTATCTTGATGGATGAAACTTTCATATGTTTATTTAAAGTGATAAGTATAACTGAATATCATCGTATACTGAAATGATAGAAATAACTAAATAGTAACCAATTCCAATAGCTTCAGTTATCTTTTGATTCAGTGTATCTTCGAAGCAATTAATTCTTCAGTATCTCGAAACGTTCATACAATAAATAATCGCCGCTCTGATAAAAAGCATCTTTAAATCTGCAATTTATTTCCCGGCGACCTAATATTTTCCCGCGATAAAAAGCATTTTTGGTTCGGAATATAAATTCCTAATGGAAACTAACGTTATCTTTGCATCTTTTTAAATAGGTTGCGTTACTTACGTTTGTCACGAGCAAGGAATTGCTTTCACGGGCGACGCTCTTTTAATACGCGGTTGCGGCAGAACGGATTTTCAGGTTTGTAGAAAAAATCGGGAAAGAATGATTGATTATAATTTAACGAATAACAATTCTCAATCAAAGTAAGCACCGTACGGATCAATAACATTGTTTGACGAGTATGTGGACCACCCACATGGAATAGACGTTCTTTGTGCATCCAATTTCACTCTGCGAAACTTTTCAACTCTAACAGTTTTTCCGGAAATTTGATTTTGCAATTTTTAACTTTCAAGCCTTATATTTTGTGTTTAACGTTTCAAGAATAGTAGACGAGTTAACTCGTTATTCAAATAAAAGGCTCAGCTATACGTAGCTGTTGTTGAAAGATTTATTTTCGCTCTTAATTATTTCGTTCCGCCTCTGTTACAGGGAAGATACTTTTTATCAACTTGTTTTCAGGAGTAATGAAATCTTCTTTAGTTGCATTTTATTATATACATATTCATATATGTAAAAGAGTATGATCATTTTACTGCAACTCGGTTAAAAGGTTAAATACTATAGCTTTTTGTCCAGGGCCAAAGTTCATGTAATCGGAAATGTTTAATTAAGAGACATTTTTTAAATTTATTCTAAAGTATAAAATAATAGCTAATAGATATTTTATATTTGATAAGATGAAGGTGATGATAATGTTTACAATGATTACTGTTTGTTACAGGGAGGTTCAGCGGAAGTTTTGTACAAGTCCGTTCATTCGAAAATTTTCACGCTTCCGGCGAATTACAGGCTATATCCGGCCCACGATTATTCTGGCAGAACAGTGACTACGGTGGCCGAGGAAAAGGCTTTTAATCCCAGATTAACCAAGTCCCTAAATGAATTTGTCGACATAATGAACAACCTTAATCTGCCGTATCCAAAAATGATCGGTACACTAATTTATTCTAGCGTAAAATTTCCGTAAAACGTTGACGATATTTATGCGGTTATATTTCGCGACGCTTTAATGAACCCCGGCATTTCGGTAATTAAATTTTCAAGCGTTCATTATAGTTCGAAATCTGTTTATTTTTTCTTTTTTTCCAGATAAAGCTGTACCGGCTAATAAAGTTTGCGGGTTATACGAGCTCGACCAGGAACAGAAACCATGAAAAGATGAGAGTCTTCCTCCTGATATTTTTATGCTTATCGATCGGCGGCTGTTAATTTTAATTTTGCCGACTTATAATGCAATAATAGCATGCAACAAAAAAGATTTTAATTATGTACCGAATAAAATTAACTAGCGGATTCATGGCTATTTATTATAGCGGTGTTCATTAAACTTCTTAATAGGGTGGAAACACGTTTCATGTAAACTTTTAATAATAATAATCCCGAAATTTTTAAAATTTCGCATTCTGAAATGCTTAAATTCACAAATTATGGAGTTCTTAAATTCTCAGATTTATACAGTCTTAAATTTCCAAATTCAACCTCCGCTGAATAACGAGGGTCAATTAAGTCGAAAATAATGAAGAGGTTAAAGTTATAATGGCGTAAGTTTAGTTTTTGTAAAGTATTGACTGTGCAAACTGCAAGTCTACTTGTATATTAACAAGAGGCTTACAGAAATATAGGTCAAATTATTTAAAATATTGACTTGAAGATATAAATAATAATATACTAGTCAACCTAAATATATATCAACATTTACAAATGGTATTGATTTAAATAAATGTATTCATGTAGTGAAACTTTAAGCACTAATAAACTTGAAATAGATAGAAATGTATAAATGATGAGTTGAAGTCTAAACAATTATACTTGTCACAATATTTTAAATGGAAGTAAAATGCACCTGTTTTCAAATCAGCAAATTATCAATGGAACTAACAAATTAAGAGACTAAAATAAGTGCTCTGTTATCATGCAATTATATTACTGATATCATCAATCAAATATTTGTTAAAATCCAAATCAGAAATTATGACTGTTAATTTGATGTATGCAGAAAATTAAGTGGATGGGCAACTATTAAATAATGATATCACATGCTTTGTAATACTAATGTACTGTAGTGTTACTTTTAAGATATTAGAGAAATGTCAGTTATTAATAGTACACTGTACTCTCGTAGCGATATATTATTAATAAAAATAGAATTATGCATGAATCTCATTAACCAAAATGGACTTGTGCCGAGGTCTCGCAACAGCTTTGCGCGTAGGGCCTTCACAAGCGCCAATGCGGCCCTGTTAATAGTTATTCGAATAAATTGCCAAGAGCATAATCACTGCATCCGTTTATCCGGTACTTATCATTTTCACAGTTTAAAGAGTCCGTCCATTCGGTCTTTATCAAGCATCTCTTGACATTTAGTTCCGTTAACAACGAACCCTTTTGATTTTCCTGTTTTTTTTTCTCCTCTAAGCCGCTATAGAGTACACGGTAAAATTACACATTCCCAGTGACTTTCTAACTATTTTTCCTTTTTTTTTCTTTTCTTCTCCCTCTCTTTCTCCCTCGTTTGGAAGAACATGAAAACATACGAGTAGATAGCCTTGGCCCATACCTTTGCCTGTGTGTCGGCCACCGTACCCACTGGTTACCCTGGAAACGGTATCGATTTCAACCCTCAGCTATGCAGTAGAAACCAGCGGCACACCATGGGGGTCTCTTCGTCCCGAGTTTCGACAAGACAACCCGTTTAAACTACCCGATTACACCGGCCTCCATCTCTATTACTGGCCACGATTTCGTTCCACATACTTCAACGAATCAACGCATTATGATATCGAAACGACATGCAATTTTTCACCGCGATTACGAATCGAAAGATCAAACGGTTCTTACCGAGACAATTTTCATTCGCTTTGTTTACTTATGCTAATGCGCTGCAATCACTGCCGGATTAAACAATGAACAAAATAAGCACCCGGTTAGGCACTGCAGAGATTTGCTGAACATTTAAAAATTCTACTTTTGCGGTTCATGTTTTTGGCACGGTTTATTGTCGAATTCGTCTTGCTCCGAAATCTGAAGTAATTCAAAAATGTCGAGGATCTTTTATCGCAATTTTTTTTGTAGTTTAGAATATTGCAATTTGTGAGTGGTTGCAGGTGTTTTGTTAGAAAGATGCTTTAGCGAGATTCTCGAAAACGTATGAAAAATTGCAAACATAAAAGGGACTTCAAAGTGATTAGGGCTTCCAGAGGTCTTAATCCGGTACTGGAATACGATCAGATTTCACTGTTTCTAATGCAATTAAAAATATTACCCCTTAGTCACCACGATGTTCTGATTTATTAATGTTTAAAAATGTTCATTAATGTTTAATAACCAGATAACATTTTATGCAATTTACATTCTTGTAATGCATGAATATCATAGTAAGGTCAGATTTCTGCGAAAGTTAAATCAGTACTTTTTCAACTAAATATATAAATCGAAGAACTATTTATTATTCTTTGATACAATTAAATAATCTAATGTGTCAAATGTCTAAACTTGAAAACTTGGTACTAAGAGTTTGTAACTTTAAATAATATGAGAAGACATTATCATTTTAATAGAATTTAATCACGATAAAAATCATGAGGAAGGAAAATAACAATTTAATCAACGACGCAATATTATTAATACGAGTCGCTGCTACAATCACCTAACATCTCCAGGACATATCTCCCATCGGATTGAGAGTATATTCTAAGGGCAAAGACCTCCAATAAGGCCTTGTTTCTTGAACAAACTGTTTTATTTTTTATATTCCATTTTAAAGTTTTATCTGTATTTATGTTGAAGTGTTTGCAACTGGATTGACATTTTCTGATTACAGCAACCTAATCTCAAAACGTTAGAGCCATTTTCGCTCTTCTGCGAAGCTCCATATTTCTTCGATATACTGAATAATTTATTTCGTATTCGATTTAATTATTAAACAGCCTAACACGGTTCTTATATAATAGTTATTAAATTATGAAAATAATTGAAGAAACAATTGCATCTTGAATTATGACGTGTCTTGTTATATATAGCCTTTTTCACTTCGCCAGGGTTAAATCTGACCCCTATTATTGCAATCGCACCAACGTAATATCTCGATTGATAAATAATCGAATCATTAATGATTAAAATAACCCGTTAAGCGGTTTTTAGTCGGAAACTGCTGGTATTGAATAGTTTATGAATAGACTTCCGGTCGGTGGGGTATTAATTTTGCCATCGTCTCCTCCTTGTCCTCGCTTCGATTACGGTATTACAGACGAATATAAATGATGTCATGTCATTATTCATTATTCGTTGGATATTAATAGCACCGTTACCGATGCGTAATCATGGTAATGTAACAAATGCATGTATATATACATCGTTAATTGACGACCTAAAAATCCACAATAGTGATTTCCGTTTTCTTTTTTTCCTCTAAGAATCGAAGCGTTCTAAGTAACTTTGCCATCGATTGAAATTAGCTAAGGTTTCATTTCCACTGATAAATGTAAATGGATTAAATTTGATGCTCGATCGAATATTTACACAATTATGCATTGTGAGGTCAATGTTCATTCGAAATTATGATTGGTAATTATAATATACAACATGTTGGATATTTGTTGTGCGGCGAGGTTGTTATTAACTGATAATTAATTGTTATTAGTTATTATTAATTGTGCCCGCGAGGGTGCGGTATGCGAACGTGCAAGTGACGTGCAATCGTGGGCACTGATGGGTAGTCAGTTCGTCAATCTCAAATTTCTAAGTTTCCAAATTATCAAGTCAATAAGTCTATAAATTTCTGAATTTTCAAATATTTAAATCTCCAAAATTCCCAATTCTCTAACTGCCTATATTTTAAATTTAAAAATTTCAAAATTACCTTGTTTCCAAATTTCCAAATTTCTGAATTACCATTCTATATATTTTAATTTCAAAATTCAGTAGCTTTAGAGTTCAGGGATTTGATAACTTAAAAATGTTAAAAATAACATAATTTATATGTTTATAAATTTAGGCATTCGTTCATTTGGAAATTTTAGGTCAATGTTCATTAACAATACTGAAATATCAGCAAACTAGTATAGACAATATTGATCATAGAAATCTTGGAACATCACATTAATCGTTTAAGATTATCTGTTAGCAAGAATAATTTTTCCAAAGAATATACTCAAATGTAACAATTACGTGCACGAGTGAACGGGTGCATCATTTGAAATCCCAGTATTCCCGCCACGTTATCGACTGACCACTGCGCGCATGTGAACGCACCCTTCGACGCGGTCATCCGTCTACGGCTGCTTCTGATTGGTCGAATCGTTTCAGCGGCATCGGCGCCGCGCTTCACCTCCATCTTGATTTCTCGTCAAGCGACCCACCCAGCAGCAGTGTCACAGTAGTACGCTGTGCTCTCGTATACGGCGGGTGAATGGTGTCCCGGGTACAAGTAAATTCGTTCTGCGACGTTTCTGACGTTTGTTAATCGGTGCGTCGTCGATTCCGCGCAAGATATCGCGGTGTAGAAGTATCGTCCACCGAGAAATCTCAAGGAACACCGTGACGAGGGAGTTTAAAAAGAATCAGCGAACGAGGAAAGATGATGGGGATGCTGGTGCCCGCACTGCTGGGCGTCTTGGTGGTCTGCCGGGTCCAGGTGAGTACACTGCTATCAATTTACGAACGTATCGCGAAAACGCTAAAGTGACGAAACGCGTGCAACGAACGCGAATCGATCCTTGTCTCGTACGATATTTCTCGCGATGTCAGTTTCCCGTACCTTTACTTTTCTTTCATCTTTTTTCGACTCTGTCGACAAATGTCACGCGCAACGCGCATCACGATCGATGTAGTGGCTACGGTGCACTTGTCCCGTGAACGGTTCCTTTGAAATGCTCGCCGATTAAAACCCCTGCTACCTGTCAATCGATGCCTCACGATGCTCGATGCGTTCATTTAGAGCACGTTACACGCTAACCGTGTACGCTGTAGCGATCGACAGCTTCGTATAGTTCTCGATGAATGTTTGCCTTCGGCGAAGTCTACGCGATCAACCGCCTACCGTACTCCAACGCTCTTTCCATGCGACCGAGCGGCATTAATCGAATCTGACGTTATACAGTCGGGGACAAAATTAAGCGTGCAAGTGCTGCAAATCGATATTGTTCGAACTAGATTAGAAAAAATAAGCGTCGAGATTGCAGAACTTTACTGACTAGTGCGTTTAAAACAAAATATCTTTCACGCTTATTTTTCGTAAGATTGAATATCAATGATCCTCACAAGGACGTGAATTAATTTCAAAATTTTAGTCCGTCAAAACCAGAAATATAATGTTTTTACAAGCTTTTTTACAACACTTGCATAACGCTGACCATCCTTAACCGACTGCTTTCAAAACTGAATACTATTAGTGTATAGAGACATCTTTGAATCAAGTTCGAAACATTTTCGTACATCAAAATTGGAAATATACAGTATTAGAAGAAGAATTTTTTATAACTCAGAAAGTGACACTTAAATTGCAGTAAAACTAATTGGGGTAAATGTGAACTTCCGTTATACGCATTCATGGTATGTACGTAGAGTATTTGACGCATAATTGAGGTTAACCCTTAACCACCATAGCTCAGAAATATTACATGCGGAATATTACGTTTCTTCTCAAGTAACGTTTTCTATTTTTAACCGACTTCGAAAAAGGAGGAGGTTACTCAATTCGATCAGTATATTTTTTTTTTTCACTTGGTAAAGTGATTCTCGAATTAAAGGATAATACATTTTTTTAAGTAATTTTGAGTGACACATGTACATGAAAAGAGAAATAAATTTTGAATAATAATTCGTTTCGAATTATTTTCGGCGAACTGGTTATGCAGATATTTCAATGAATTATCGAGAGGAGAGAGGTTAATTTTGTCCGAGAATGTACGCCGTGTAGTACAATATCCGTCGTTGCTACTTTGCCGGCTATTTTCATCGTTAATGTCACACGACAATGTTAATTGGTCGTTTTTATCGAGTGACCGTTTAAGATTCTAGATCGGAAACATAGTCTTTCTTAGCGATTATAAACATTTTAAACGAAATTACAAACTGTCATAAACCGGTTGATTGAACGTTGTGTCCAGTGACATTGCAAATTAATGGCTTTCGTTACAACGACGATAAAATGAAAAATGGCAAGAAGTTAGAGTGAGTTTACGATCCAACGTCAGTTTTATGATTTTTAGGTGTTATTTACGTTAGAATTTAAACAGTAGTGTCTTCATTTGAAATTGTATACCGTTTTTTCACTACCGAAATATATTTGAAGATTGTTAAACGAATGGCGGTAAATTCAAACCGGTTTTTTATTATTAGATTATTGAATTGAAGAATTAAGTTATAATATGGGTGTAAAGAAAGAAAAGATACGAAGTAATTATAGTTTTATGATTTTTAGATATTATAATCTCTGCTATTGAGTTTCATTTTTAGAAAACGATTGTAAGGAAAAAAGCGGTAAATTTAAATTGACTACACTTTAGACGCACTGAGTTTTAATAACATTAAAAATGATAAGGAATAGTTACGGGTTTAAGTTTTTAGGTATTGTATTATAAGAGATGGTATCCTTATTCGGAACAGTAGAGTAGCTACTTATCAGATATAAAGTTTCATCTTTGGAAAACCACCGTATAAGAATGGCGGTAAATTTAAATCCGCTGATGTTATCAGAACATTATGTAGATTGTACAAAATGAAACCCAACCTCATATCAGGTATATTTTAGTGCAGAAAAGGGTGCAGAAAAATATTTCTAAATTTTCAAATTCCTAAATTTCTCAATTCTTAAATTTTCTAATTTATAAATTTCCAAATTTATACATTTTCTAATTCCTAAATCTCCCAATTAATAATTTCCCAATTCCTAAATTTCTAAATTTCTAAACTTTCCAATTCCTAAATTTTCCAATTCTTAATTTTTCAAATTTCCAAATTTTCCAATTCCTAAATTTTCCAATTCTTAATTTTTCAAATTTCCAAGTTTTTCAATTCCTAAATTTTCCAATTCCAAATTTTTCAATTCCTAAATTTTCCAATTCCTAATTTTCCAAATTTCCAAATTTTTCAATTCCTAAATTTCCAAATTTCCACATTTAATTTCCAAATTCTCTGATTCCTAAATTTCTAACTCTCCACCTCTCCAATTTCCAAATTCCCCAATTCTAAATTTAAACTATTATCTCCCTGTAAAAAACTTGAAATTGTGCGATTCTTCCACATAGATCGAACGCGTTAGCTCGCAAACCGTTAACGATCTTAGCACAGTTAGTAGTCAAGTTTCGGTGTATTCTCATTTGGTCGTAAAAAATAAGCGGTGTCCTTAGGAGGCGGTCGCTTTTAAAAAACGTTTGAAAGCGCATCCATCCCGGAGGGAAGTAACCTTCTGTATGAGCAATTTATCACGCACGAACGAACATAGGCAAAACTCCCATAAGAGGCACAGACCAAGCACAGATTGCAAATATGTATATAGATACGTAAGTCGTAAAACGGATTTGCCAGCGATTTTCTTGTTAACGTTAATTCCACGCGACAGTTCAATTCACGTGGTTCGTTGCTCGCCATTGTCATGAAATAGGATCGCGTGTAATAGAGTAGGGTTGTCAACTTGAAATTTTAGTTCGAACACTGTTCAAACCCCGTGTTACATTGAAGTCACATTCCGCGACCGGCGCAAATTGCGTGGAACGCGTCAAGTATTTCACACCTGAGATTTTGATGTGCGTGGAATTTCATTGTTCGAAAGGAAGATATTTTTGCACTTTCTATTATGAAGTTTCATATCGAATCTCTGTATCTATAGAGTTAAATGTCAGACTTAAAGACTCTAACATTTTTTAATTTTCAAAATTTTTATTTTCTAAATGTAGACATTTTTAATACTCAAATTTTTTATTTTCTAAATACACAAATTTTTTGTATTCAAAATTTTTATTTTCTAAGTATAGACATTTTTAATATTAAAATTTTCTATTTTCTAAATATATACATTTTTAATACTCAAATTTTTTATTTTCTAAGTATAGACATTTTTAATACTCAAATTTTTTATTTTCTAGATATATACATTTTTAGTATTCAAATTTTTTAATCATTTCAAATTATCAACTTTCAATTAATCATCAACTATTACAATTTTCTTGTTCTTAAAATTCATCAATTATTACAAACATCTTACAATTTCTTAACTAAAATTTTAAAGTCGTTCTGAACAATATAGCATCGACGTTTAATTCCTAGTTAGCCATTTGAAAGAAAATGAGTAAAACTATCAAGTATGCATTAAAGTTCGAATGATTTCAGTTTGAAACGTTTATATTTCCCTCGTCGTAATTACGATCTTCACCTAGATTCAATTAAAAGGTGAACGCGTGTCGGATGATTGAAACGCACATTCAAAGCTTTTTCCTCGCTTTTCGATGTTTCCTTATTATAAAACCGCGGTTTCGTTTCTGCCGTAAAGTGTAAAGCTGGGGTTTCCGCGGAATAGAAAAAAGGACGAAAAAAGAAAAAAGATGTTTCGTCGCTTAAATGCAGCTTCTTGTCCCCCATGTTGCCGAACGAGAAAATGCTCCGGTAATGGAGCACAGAGTAAATGAGGACGAAAGAGTTTCAATGCATTTTTCATTTTCCACGCAGATTCTTTTTTAAGGTCACCTTTCACGACGCTGTCTTCTTTCATTTTAATCCCCTATATCCACTTTCTTCTCTCTTTTTTATTTATTTATTTATTTACAAATTCATCGAATGTTAATGTAATAACGATGTGAATATTTTCGAATGTTCTTTTTTTTAGTAAATTTCTTAACAAAAATTATTTAGTTATTGTTCTTTGTTTGCATCTTGTGAAAGTGTCTAATGTGAATAAGAAAGTGCTTTAAAACGTTGAACATTATTTATATGAACTGATATGAATCACATACTGCTTCAAGTTTACATTGCAGTTAACAGGCTCTTCACATAAATCAAATCTTAGATTTACGTTGAACAGTGTTCGTATAAATTGATATGAATCACATAGTACTGTCTTAAGTTTACAGTTTACATTACAGTTAACAGGCTCTTCACGTACATTAAATCTGTTAAAATCTTCACATGAAGTGTAGACAATGTGTTATGATATTGTTCACATTAATTGTAATTAGTCTATTAAAATGTTTACATCAAAGTCAGTTAATATGTTGTTCACATTAAATGTAATCAATGTATCTAAACATTGTTCACATCACTTATAATGAATCTGTTACAATATAATTTACATCAGTTGCAATTAACTATTAAAATATTGTTCACATTAAGTATAATCAATGTACCTAAACATTATTCACATCACTTATGATCAATATTTTATAATATTGTTTGCAACAATTGTACTCAATCTATTAAAATTCCCTTCACATTAATTATAATCAATCTATCTAAACATTGTTCACATCACTTATGATCAATTTTTTACAATATTGTTTACGATAATTATAAACAATCTAAAATATTGTTCACATAAATTGTGATCAATTGTTAAAATGTCCACTTCAATAGGTTTTATATCATTGGGTTTAATCGGGCACTGAATATTAGAACATCTTTCTCGTTTCTCTGGAGATTACC